CTTGTCGATAAAGTCATCGTCTGTTGAGGTAATCGACTTGGAATCATGCATAAAGGTATCTTTGTAGGAAGGGATTTTTGGCAAGCTCGCAACAGCAACAAGGCTACGGTTTTGTTGCCCATCATCGCTAGGGTTTTCGGGGAACAAGACCCATGCTAGGGTATCGATAAAAGGGTTTGTCGTCCAGGATAACGCCCTTCATGTTTTCCGCAGTAGGGTTGTCGTCCATGTGATAGGTTGTTTTACTATGATCAATTGTATCTTTAACTTATGTTAAAGTATTCAACTGTTTCATCTCTGTGTCTAAGTCTAAGGTATTTTTTAGTCAAAGTCCATACCTGAATTTTTTTCATTATTATTGTTTTAATCATGTCACGTGTCAACTTTTAGGTATTTAGATGAAAAAAATGGTATATTTTAGATACATTGGCAAAAAATACTACAAGTTCCTAGATGAAAAGATAAACTTTTTAAGTATTTATTTTGATTAGAAGTACTTTAGATACTTATATAAAAATAATATTATACTTTAGGTACCTATTTTTGAAATAAACCAAAACTTTAAAAAGAATACTTTAAGTATATAGATTAGGGATGGCAAATGGTCGAATTTTTAGTCAACTCGACCCGAAAATATATACCCTCCACTCGAATCTGACTCAACCCAAAAATACATATCCTTTACCTAGCCTGATTTGAATCGAAGATCATATTTCTTCTACCCGAACTTGATCTAACCCAAAATTTTAGAGTAAAAAATCCATCCAACCTAACCCAACATAAAATAAGGACTTAATTAAAATTTTTATAGAGGGGGTGTTATAGCAGTTATCCATAAAATTTATAGGTAAAAATTACACTATTACCTTCAAGTCAAGTTGGATAAGAGATTTTTCATTCTCCATCCGACCCTACCTCACACTATATAAAATTTGATCCGAACTCGAATTTTTTTAATTAATATGATCTTATCAGGTCAGATCAGATTAGAATATGTCAATTTCAAATGCTTTAAATATTTACTTTAATTAAAAAAATAATTTAAACTTTTTAAATTATATATACATATATATAGTGTAAAACTTTCCTTTTTAGGATCGTTGGATAAGGGGAAATTAAAGGCTGAGATTAACTCCTCGTTTTTTTATGAGTGAATATATTCATATTTCCTACTGTTAATCTCAGTCTTTGATTTCCCTTCATCCACCACTCCTAAAAAGATGTAAAACTAAAAAGTTTTACACTAATATATATAACTACGAAGGATAAAAAAAGGAATTTGTTCCGAAAATAAAATTATATTTTCTGTTGGTTGTGTGTAGTCATTAACTTGAAGCATAAGCTTATATGATTAAATAATAATATCATGATTATTATATTATTTTAGATAGAATTATTTAACTAATTGTAGTAGTTGGGATATAATTTGTTATAATATTTTTAAAATATATATATCTTTAAAACATACTTAAATTATCTATAATCCTTTTATATTTTTTAAATGTAAAATAATTATAATTGAACACGTTAAAATTAAAAACATTTTAGAAAATGATAATAAAATTAAGATTCAGTTAATAAAAACACATGTTTTAAAATATAAAAATTCTTAAGATTAATTAATTAACCGAGTGATCATATATATTTATGTTGTCTCATTTTATGTGGGTTCAAATCTTAATTTTCAACCTAAAAATATAATACATTTCTATTTAATAAAAAAATAAAAAATATACTAATGATGGTTGGTTCAAGTGACAAGTAGTTTAAGGTATTGAGTTTAAGTTTTTATGTATGCAGAGAATTCTAGTTATGAGGTTTATCTACCAAAACCAAGTATGTGGTACGGGTCGATCCAAATTAATTACGACAAAACTTGAAAACTGGGAGTACAAATTATATATATATATATATATATAAAAGATCCTTGAACACTATTATATCTAATCATTGGTTTAAGAGAATAAAAACTTAGTTTAACAAGAGGAGTTGGTAAGTTGCATTATTAGCCATAAATAAGTGAAAACAAAATCCAAACTTAATCAACAACTATGACTTTTATATTCCATTACTTAAGATTTGCTATGGCCCACCATTGAACCTAATCAAATAGTAAATTTCTAGTGGGTCATTTTATCTAGTTGAACTAAATTCTAACTTGTCAACGTATGGGGTTGAGCCATATCGCAATCTATTGGGTAAACTACCACGTGGACACTCAATTTTAAATAAGATTTTTTACACCAAATTTTATAAAATTATAAAATAAATATTAAATTTATATTTTAGTCATCCCCATCAAATGACTAACAAAATAATGATGTGATAATTTTTAAATTTAATATAATAAAAAGTTTAGTCTTTAACATTTATGTATTGTTCAATTTGATCTTATTTTTTTTAAATAGCTCAAATGTTACACATTGTATCAAATTAACTGAAAGGAAATTACATCATACACCACTAATTTTAACGTTTGTATCGGTTTTACCATTAAACTAAAAATTAATATTATTTTAACATTGAATTTTAGTTTAGGCTTCAATTGTATTACTAGATTGTTAAAATTTAATGACATGGTGATGGGGATAACAATCTCATTAGTGTGACGATGTGATATGACCATGAATTATTTTTTATTATAAAGTAACATTCTCCAATAAAATGACAACACATATCGTCATCATGTTGGAAGAAAATTAAGAAAACGTGAAATGCTCAGACCTTTGGGAAGGCGAAGGTACTTATGTTGGCTGGTTGGCTAACTTTAACTAAAGTTGTTTTATCAGCAATTCGGTCATACAATATGTAGACTACTTAGAAAAAAGTGACATCCACTTAGTTAAATGGGAGGATTTTGGTTTCAAGCATTTGATGAGCCAAAATGTTGCTTTCTTGATGAAGATCGCCTTTGGCTTGATTACTAATAGGGATCAATTGTTGATTCGTGTTTTGCGGACTAAATATAGATGGAGTGATGGTATCCCGACCTCTATAGATCAGTGAAACTGCTCGCACTTATTAAAGGGGTTAAATATGGCGTGGGACGATATACGCTCAAGCATTATATAGAACCTTGGCAATGGAATGAATGTGGACTTTTGGAAGGACCCTTGGATCAATGATATTGATCCTTCGTCTGAGTTCATTGTGAACGACAATCTCCACGACAGGAGGTCAACTGTTATTCGTGATATGATAGATGAATTTACACACCTTTTGCCTATTAATATCGTGCTTAAAATTGTAGCAATCAAGTCACCTCTTCCCTCGCAAATTGAAAATGTTCCTGGCTGGAGTTGGAATGATAATAGAGCTTTTTCAGTTAAATCTACGTATGCATTCCGTGAATGTCAAGGAGCATCGACGAGCGAGAATGTACGGACAATAATTGCGAAGTATAATGGTCTCCAGTGGATTAAAATTCTTTTATGACTATCAGCGTGTGGACGTCTTTTAACTAACACAAAGAGAGTCCGACTGCATATTGCATCGGATGCTACTTGTGGGACGTGTCGAAAGAAACCAGAAACTGAAGGACATTTATTTCGTTCTTGTTCAACAGCTAAGAATATTTGGATGTGTCTGATTACGTCAAATAATTGGATAGATTTTTTCTCGATGGAAATTCATGAGTAGATACTCCTTCATATTAATGTGGTAAGGGGGAGATTCTCAGATGATAAGGATGAATGGCCTTTGATGTTTGGATCAGTTATATAGTCTCTATGGTTACACATGAATTGTTTTATTTTTTACCCGGTAATGTTGGAAGGGAACCTATCTTGACAAAGAGTCGATGACTAGTGGAGGAAGCAAAGGCTGCATTATCTTCGTCCGTGATTCCTAAATTCAAGGAATGCTGTTGTGAATCGCTCTAAAGTACATCGGTGTCCTCCGGACACGGGATGACTTAAACTAAATACGAATGATGCAGAACCTTGGGGAGTGTTTGAGAGACTATAATATGCGTGGAACCTTAGACACCAACATCTAGTGGTGGAGCTGGACAACTTTATTGCCGTAGAGCTGTTGCGTAGACACGGGAATGCTATTAGATCTTTACTTTGTCGCAATACATTTGACGACTGATTACTTAAGAATAGATGGTGAATTTTGTGCATGTGGTTCAAGAAGACAATCGAGAGAGAGAGACTAAAATGGGCCAAAATAGTGCCCCTCTTGGCAGTATGATGTTGTACTTTCTCTCAAAGCAAATTACTTCGTTTCTCCAGGAGAATTGTGCTAGTTTGATTCATGACCATATCCTAAATTGATGTAATTTCTAATTTAAAAAATATTATTCAGGATGAAACCAAATTGAGTCAATCCCATTTCGTTTCAAGTACGTAAATTACCAAATTATCCCAAAAACTCATACCGTTTTCAGGAAATAGCCTTTCAGTTGTTCAAACTCCAGTTAAGCCTGAAGTTATTACTTCAACAGTGATTACTACTAAAACTGTTTGGGACAATCTGTTTCTAATGGAAACCTTAATTTTCAAAACTCCAACCAAATTTAAATTCTTCAACTCTCAAATTTCTCCTTCGATTTTCCCTTTCCATTTCCCCTCACGGCAAAGGATCAAACTCCGTCATTTCTCCCGTAGAAGCTGCTTCCGAATCGATGGACGCCTCAATGTCACTCCCGCCAAGGCTTCTTTGTAGGCTGAACCCTCGAGATACGGCGGGTTGGACGATTTTGAACCCGGTTCATGGTCTTCTAACTCGGGTGAGTCAATTCGGTTGCGTGATTTCCTTGTTTCTATCGGAATTTATGATAAGAAACATGTATTTATTTTTTTATTGGGGCTCGTTTGTGCCTTGGTGATTACTAGGGTTAGGGTTTCTACGGTTATATTATTTCTGGCTTCTATTTTGGTTTTCGGTATTGGATTTTCGTTTGGGTTTGTTAAAGGCGGGAGTTTCAATGAGCTAAGTTCGAATAAAAGGAGGTCAACGAATGAAATTTCAAGAGTTTATAGTGAAAAGTTGAGGAATTTAGTTGATCTTTTCTATGGCTTTGATGTTAAAGTTAATAATTTTAAGAATACTATACAAAGAGCTTTCGATTCTAACAGAATTACTGTAGCTGATTTGGAGAATTATGCTAATTTATTGGAATCGAGGAGGTTATCAGCTTCAAATGCTATAATTGTTGTTGAAGATTCTATGGATAACGTTGGGGACTCTTATAAAGATAATCTGAAACCATCAGGTAGAAAAAAAAGAGGCTGGTGAAGTTAGGTTTGAGTTGTTAAAGTTTATTGGGGATATGTTTGGCGAAAAATCGGTGCCATCAAAGCCTAATAAAGTAAAAGATGATGTTAAGCGAGAGAGTGTGAATACTGATTTAAATAACAAAACTCGAGGAGATGTTTCGTTGCCTGCTGTTGATGATAAGGCTTTTAGTTCATATAATAATGGCAAGCGAGTTTCAAATCGAGGCTTCACTCAAGATTCTTTGAATAAGTCTGATTTGAATCGAGAAAGTGATAGGAAAATAGATTTTGATTTGGAGAATGAGAAAATAAGGTCTGGTTTTCTGGGTAGAAATGCTAAGAGATTTGTTGACAGTGAAGAGTATAATTACGAGAGCAAAAGATTGCATTTCACGAATACTTATGACTTCTCTTTCATCTCAAGTTGTGCGAATGAGAGGAAAACATGGAAATTCAATGATAATCTGCTTGATTCCATGGATTTCAGTGTCAGATTGGAAACTGAAGCTTCCTTTATACACGAGCATCTGCATCATGAATCTAGCAGATCTTACAGGTCTTCTCACAACCAAGAGAAGAGAGAAAATGAGGCATATGGAAAGAGACAGTACTATGAAAATGATTACGACCTAGCTGATCATGTAACTGCAGCTGAGAATGAGGTCATTTCATCATTGTCGTTGTCGTCAAAGTTTGTCGATGACTTGGTCTTTGATAAGTATCTTACAGAAGCTAGCGGTCTTCTTAACGAAGCCAAAGAATGTATGGGGGGAAGGCATGACGGAGAGCGTGTAGAAGTCATCTCGAATAGGTCCGCCACATTACTCTCGCAGGCCATTTCAATGAAGCCTATGAGCCTTTTGGCTGTGGGCCAGTTAGGCAACACTTATCTTCTTCACGGAGAATTTAAACTGCAAGTCAGTTGTGAGCTTAGAACTCTTCTTACTAAAAATGATCCCATAGCCGGTGGGAAGCCACAAGGAAGAGTAGTTAACACTAACAGACTAGATCAATTTTCAAGTAGAGATGAAATTATATCCCTCTTAGTTAGTTCTTGTGAAGAGTGTGAAGAGCTCCTTGTGAGGGATGGGCAAAAATATCGGTTAGCACTATCAATCGATGGAGATGATGTGAGATCCCTGTATAATTGGGGTCTTGCTTTGTCTTTTCGTCCACAGTTGATTGCAGATATTGGCCCGGTAAGCATTTCTGGTACTGAAATTTAATTTCTTGACTGTTGTATAAATTTTCTTGGTCAAAGGGAAACAGTTTGATCAACTTTATACGGGTTACCTTCATAAGGTGTTAGGGAGGATGGGGTCGTTTGTGGTGGGGTATTTCAATTGTTATTTGCAGAACTTTTAAATTTTGAATTACATCTTTGATTCCAGGAAGCAGCTTATGATGCCGACAAACTATTCTTGGCTGCAATTGATAAATTTGATGCTATGATGACTCGAGGCAATGTTCATGCACCCGATGGTACGTCTAACTTCTTTTGTGCAGTGGAATTGATGTCACAATGTTGATATGTTAACTGAATGAAACTTGAATGACAATTGACAGCTCATTTATAGCTGTTCCGACAGTTTTACCGAATCATAACCATGTAATTGAGTGTTCCACAATGGTGCTAGTTAATCGATGAAGTTTTTGATAGAGATAAGAAAACCATTTTTGTCTTGCATGAAGCTCCAAATATAGAAGTCCATAAAATTTATTATGATCATGCTTTCTGTATATCTTTAGGATTATGAGTTGAATGAATAGCGAATATGGAATTCACCTTACTACTGCATATGTTCGATTTACAGCCCTGTTTAGATGGGGAGCCATGTTGCATCAACGATCTCACTTAAGGCCTAGTAACAGTAAAGAGAAGATGAAGTTACTACTGCAGGCAAAGAGGTTATATGAAGATGCACTCCATATGGACTCCACAAATCTGCAAGTAAGAGATGCCTTATCATCATGTACATCCGAGCTGAAGTATAGATAATTTTAGTCATTACGATTTACAGTAGCAGTAACGAAAACTTCAACAAATCGAACACTGAACTTTCTCCTCTCACGTAAGTGAACTTTCTCCTTTCACGTAATTATTTTGGTGCATTTTTCTTACCTACTACGTGCAAAATACAATGTGCATGATAAAACAGTGATATTGCTTATATATATTATACAAAATGGAAATACATTTTTTAAATATAATTTTGGGTTTTTTTTATCCAAACATTACCATTAAAATAATCATTTTCAAATTGATTCTCATTTTTTATTAATTCTCAAAATGATATTTTTTTTTGTTGATTGGGTGCACCTTTGCCCTACATGGCTTGTCTGTTGCGGAATACAACTATTAGATAGAGTAAAATCGCAACTGATAATTTGAGAAAATAAAAATGAAAGTAAAGAAGACACAAATTTTACGTGGAAAACCCATAAATAATATTAGGTAAAAACCACGGGCAACGGTAAAAGAATTTCACTATAAGAAAATATGAATTATAACTTCTCTCGATCTAACAAGGAGAAAACAATAACAATTTTCTCTTAATAAAAAGGAAAAAAAACTCTCAAGAAAACTCTCTAAATTCTCTAGTATTGGGAAAAAACTAGAATGATTTGGGATGATTTTGAAGCTAAATAGGTTAAGGAATTTATGGTTAAAGTTTAAGGACTAAACTTGTAAATATCTTAAAGTACAATGATTAAATTGTAATTATACCATACAATAAATCAACAAAATCTTCCTCCTTTTTGACTAAAATTTTCGGTGGATTTGTTTTTCCCACCTTTCTGTGGATAGTTGATTTTCAACAATGTCATGTCATTAAGAGGTAGAATTATATTGGTTGAAGGGAAAGACGCGATTGCACAAACGAATCGACCTCAATTGTTAAAGTATTATTGTTATCTCTTGAAGTTCTGGGTTCGAGCATAAAAAAATGAGGCTGGTGAAGCATGTCTTCCACAGGTTTGAATAAAAAATAAAGCATAGTCAACAAAACACACCTTTGCTTTGATTCCTCTCAGCAATTATCTGATCGGAGTTAAAGTTTTCTGAAAACTGCCTGAAATTGAAGAATTATCTATTTGAAGCAGTGCTGAAAAATGCTTGAAATTGATGCAGTGAAAATGACAAATTTGGAGCAAAATTGGAAAAATAGTCTGGAAATTGAATTTATATAAACTAAGATAATTGTTTATTCATAAAATTTTCGTCTATATAAGAAAAACATATGTTTTAGATTTCAGAGAAAAAAAAATGAGTTTACATAGTGTAAATTGTATCGATTGATTTTTGTACTTGTATTTCGTATATTTTTATGGTATATTTGAGATATTGTATTCGGATATTATGTAAAAAAAAATTCTAAACCGTGTTGAAGTTATATTTTAATTTACTAATTAAAGGATCACGACAAAATGTTAACAAATGAAACAATACATATGTGGTGAGACCGTGAGAATTCATAGAACATGTATTTTATATTTTTTTATAAAAATAATTTATATTTATTTAACTGATAATATATATTACATAAAGCAGATTGTGGGACACATACAATGAAGATTAGATGAGTCTCGAGATTCACAAAGATGATAGAACGAGAATAATTTTAATCTAACGAGTCATATGCGAAACACTCTGCAGCTATTCCACCAAATTGACATCCCTACACATGTTTCATCAATTATACATTTCCTTCGACTAATAAGATATCGTCTTTCGTTAATTGAGCATGTTATGTAAGATAAAGTCGTTTTTTACTCAATGCACATTTATCATGCGTGACATTTCCAACTAATAAAGAGAATCATTTTCTAAAAAAATAAGAAATAAAATTAATTTTAAAATATTATTTTAATGATAATTGTACCTACTAATTGTCGTTCATGGAACAATAAGCTTATAATATCATCAGAATTGATCTAACTTTATATTACACATGCGATTCCCCGTTAAATCCTGTTTAGTAGTAATGCTTTAAAGGATCCACTGCTTCAAACATTCATTCATTAAGTTACCAAAATATTCAGTTTTTACTGGCTGTTAATTAGATGTGTAGTATGGTCTAGAATCTGTTTGGTTGTTGGGAAAATAAGGAACAAAGCAGTGAGAAAAACATTCCCTTATTTAATTCATTACTTTCAGGTTGATTTTCATTTCTGAATTATAGTCACCAAATATAGTTTTCTTTTTTCTTTCTATTACGGATTCCTTCAATGCTACCCTAAGCCATGGTCCTCATTCGTTACCGGAAAACTTTTAGCATTCCGGTAAAGGTAACAATCCCGACTAAAGTTTGATATTCTTCCACAACCCACACATAACTTGCACGGTGCGACAGTGCCTGAATCATCACCGCCACCAACGAGCTCCACGGATGGCATACAATGGCCTCTGATCTCCTCGCCACCTTCGCTGAATACCCTCCTGACCTCCCATTTCTCATCCCAACCCTGAACTCCTCGTCCTCAGACGACGAACACGACGATGAAACTGATGAGAATCCTGAAGAAATCCCCGAATCTTCTTCCACCAATTCCAGGGCTTTCACTAGATTCCTCTCTTGCAACCTCTCTTTCATCAATTGAATCAAATCCTCCGGTGGTCCACCGCAATCGATATAAGCCATCAAGTCACCAGCCGAAAGCGTAGCGATGGCCGCCGCAACATCCCAACCACAAGAATTCAAAGTGAAGGGCGAAATTTCCCCAACCAACCTGCCATCACCGTCGACAACAGCGACAGAAGTTTGCATCTCAAGGGACTGAGAAATCAATGGCAAGGCCGATGAAGCCGGTTCATCGTAATGAACGGTTGCGATGTTCTGAGCATCGATGACGCCTAGGGAGTTGATTGGATTAACAGCAATTTGAGTAAAAACACCAATGGCATTCACAAGGAAACGAACTATATCTTCCTGAGTTAGCCAACAATATTGTCGATTATCATGGAAGGTTGAATTCGACAAAGCATTTTGAAGAAGCTTTTTCCTTGAATTCCTGCCATTGTTTTCCAATGGTATCACCAGATTTTGTGCTCCTCCCAGAATCAAATCTATAGCTTCCACCAAACTGAGAAAAACACAGCAAATTGTATGAAACGTAATTATTTTTAATAAGTAAATCACGTTCTAATTACTTCTCCGTAATCTCCACAAGCGCTATATTGCAGCCGCGACCGTAATTTAGTAGTATGATAGATACTGAAAAATCAAAACGCGTTATTTAAACAAGAAAACAAATCGGAAAAGAAACCGACCTTGCGTTAGGATTTAAATGACGGACAACGTCTCCTGTTTTACGAATGAAAACGGAAACCGGAGCTTGAAGAACAGTTCCAGGATTCGAAAGGTTTTCTTCCTTGCATAGGAAACAGATAATATCAACCATGCATACTTTGCCTACGCAACGGCATTCATCAAGACCGGCGGCGTCGACTTTTTCGGCGGCCGTGGAGTCTTCCGATAACTGACCATGTTTACAGCTCCAAACACTGACACAGTTATTCCCCGATCTCTTAAACGCCGCCAAGGCTTCTGCAACGGTGGCGGAGATAGAGAGGGAGCGCAGCGGCAGCTTGCCGAGACATAGGTCAGATACCTGACGCGCCGGTAAGGTCGCTGCCATGCAGCAGTGAAGGGATCGAAGAGCTGAACCAAATTAGATAGGGAATTGTAAAAAAATGGGAAAATGGATGCTTCTAGAGGAAATGAAAATGTCATGAAAGGAGCAGCAAGAATGATGGGAAGATGGTGTGGTATTTAGAGAAGTTGTTAACCGGGTTTAACCTGTCAGCCCGGGTTTTTTTAATCAAAAACGGGTGGCCCCAATTTATGAGCGGTTTACAACTTGATAAATAAAATTGTGAACCAAGTTGGAGATTTTTCCTTTTTTTGTTAAGAAACTCGTATATAGATGCTGGATTGGATTTGTTTCCTATTAATAATAATAATAATAATAATAATAATAATAATATCAATTGAGTTTCTAATTTGATTGTCACCAAGATAAAAATTCAAGCATACGTAAATATTATATACATATATCATAAGAATTGAAAAACTCAATTCAAACTTTAAAGTCAATCTACTAATTACTAAAATTTTGAGTTATTCGAATTACTATTCAAGTTGTATTTTACAACTTGACTTGAATTTAAAATCTTTTCAAGTCGAGTCGAGTTTATGAAATTATAATTAAAAATCAATTCGAGTCAAATTTTTCAACTCGAATCGAATTAAAAAATTAAATTTTCAAGTCGAATCGAGTTTTTCTCGTCCCTAACTACGACAGGCCAAGTTTTCATTCAGAACAAAATTGTGTCATCGATCGTTTTTAATCAAAGAACGCTCGAGACATTAATTTAGAGGGGAAACTACATATTTTGTCATCCAATTATTACTTTACTTCCATTTTGATCATCCAACTTGTTTTAAAGCATATTTAATGATATGTTTTGATTATCAGTCATTAAAAAATAAACAGGATTGTTAATGTGATAATTTTTTAAAAAGAAGTTCAATTGTAACATGACATTATATTATTGTGATAATTTTAAAAAGAATTGTTGTTAATTCTTTAATAGTGGGTGATCAAAATGTAACATTAAATATGATTTAAAAAATAATTATGTAAAAAAACAGAGCAATAATAGTTAGTTGAATAAATATGTAGTTTATCTTAATCTAAGTTTATATAGAGTTAATCAAAAATCATTACCTACTCACTACGACGGAAAAAATTAGCAAGATGGAGAAGAAGAAGAAGACTAAAAGAGCAGAAGCAGTATCAAAGTGAAAATCATCCCAAAGCCTTTGAAAATTCTCATAGCAACGGTAAACTGATCCAGGAACAGTAGCACATCCTAAAAGCCCAGAAAACAGACCGACGCACGCTAACAAGCTGGAAAACGTACAACAGTGGCAGCAGCAACAAGTATGAGAGATTACGCTGGAAGTTGAGGCCGGACCCAAGGTTTCACGGCGTACGAATGATTTGGTCCCGGAACGCAGTCGACGCTGACACTAAGGTGGCGTTTGTTTTCACCGTGCAAGCTCTTCAAACTACTTATGTCTGCGTCGCGCAGACCACGTACAAATATTAGGCTTCGCAGACTGTTTGTTTTTTAGAAGACAAAAGCTCTTCAAACGTCTGCGCGAGCTCTTCTTGGTGCAGACTTAGTTTTATGTCTTCAAAGGTCTTCAAACCTCTTCAAGAACAATTATAAAATATAATTATTTATTAAAATAATTTTAAATAATTTAATAAAGTTATTTATTTTAAAATAATTTATTTTAAAATAATTTATTATAAAATAATTTATTTTAAAATAATTTATTATAAAATATGGATTGATTTATTTTAAAATAATTTATTTTAAATAATTTATTAGTATGGATTGATTTATTTTAAAATATTGATTGATTTATTTTAAATAATTTATTAGTATGGATTGATTTATTATTGTAGTTGTATGGATTGATTTATTTTAAATAATTTATTAGTATAGATTGATTTATTTTAAAATATAGATTAATTTATTTTAAATAATTTATTAGTATAAATTGATTTATTTTAAAATATGGATTGATTTATTATTGTAGTTGTATGGATTGATTTATTTTAAATAATTTATTAGTATGAATTGATTTATTTTAAATAATTTATTATTGTAGATGTATGAATTATTTAAATTTCAGTATTGTAAAACTAAAATTATTTAAATATCAGTATTACAAAACTCTTTTAAGTTTAAAAAATCAGTTTATTTATATTTCAATTCATTTTAGCAATCTACAGACGTTAAAAAACAAACAGTCTTCTTCTTGTAGACTGCAGACTTTTGGTCCACCTCTTCAGCTGCAGATGTGATCCGCAGACTGCAAACCTTTTACCTCTACAAAAACAAACACCACCTAAGAGTGGGAATAAGACCAGGCTTGGGCGGCAAATGAGGCGGGCTAGGAGATTTCTATTGAGATTTAAATAGCAGTCTTTGTTATATAACGGTAGTGGTGTCATCCGTAATTATTATTGTATAACGGTAATATCCGTAATCATCACAATATTACTTGTTATATCTGTAATTACAATAAACATAACGTAACCGAAAATGTTAAGTTTAAATCCCTCGTGTTACTAACATCGCCAATGTAGCTATTACTGCAACATTTGTTACAGTTATTGCTCTTAGGCTTCATTGAAACGGCAATGTGAGCTGCCATGTAAACAGAAACCCAAGAGTAAGAACTGATTTCGAGATGTTTTCCCGGAAAAAATAAAAAGAAAAATTATTTTTATTAAGAGAAAATAATCTCACTGACCGAAAATGTTTTAGAATATACGATTTTAACTAAATTTTTTTAGATTTGCCAAAATGACCAACAAATTCGCAACGTGATAGTCAAATTCGCAACACAGAAGTCAAATTCGTAACGCGATAGTCAAATTTGCAATACAAAAATTAAATTCACAACGCAAACGCGAAAGTCAAATTCGCAACGTGAACTCCAATTTCGCAACGTGAATAGTAAAATCGCAACGCGAACTTCAATTTCGCAATGTGAATAGTAAAAATCGCAACGTGAATAGTGAAATCGCAACGTGAATAGTAAAATCGCAACGAATATATATGTAAATTATCTCTTATCATCTATCTATAATAATTTGTTGGAAAAATACATAAATAATTTTTATAAAAAATATTCGTACACGTGAAAAAATTTATATGTAAATGAACAACAAATCTATTTCATTTGTCAATTTTCATTATAAATTATTCTAAATTCAATTAATTAAAATTTGAAAAACTCATACTAATGAAATACATTTAAAAAATTAAATTTTGAATTATATTAAGAAAAAATTGATTCCTGTACACATATAGATAAGTTTTATTTTCCACTTAAAATCCCAGTCTAGAAGCAGAGAGTTACCATTTGAAATTCGCAACGCGATTTTTTAAATTCGCGTTGCGATTTTATTATTCGCGTTGCGATTTTTATTATTCACGCTACGATTTTGGAAATTGGGTTGCGAAATTGGAGTTTGCGTTGCGAATTCGAGATCGCCTTGCGATTTTTTTGGTCATTTTGACAAATCAAAAAAAATGATTAAAATCGTATATTATAAGACATTTTCGGTCAATGAAGTTATTTTCTATTTTATTAATTATTGTATGTTATGTTGTTTTTTTTTATTGAATTCTAAGTCTTTGATCAGAGGGTGAAGTCGGAGATAATACGAAAAGTTGGTGGCACAATAAGTCAAATTAGAGTAGCGAAGAAAAAGATTGTGAGAGTTTTCATTTTGTAATAGGGTAAAAAATAAATTTTAAAAATTTACGAGCCAAATTAAAAATTAATCTCTTTTTTAATATGTCGCGTCATCATAGTCATATGAACTAAAGATTCAATGATCAAAATGTAACATATTGATAATATAAATGAACGAAACATCTTTTTTAAAATCAATAATCAAAATAGGATAGATAAAAAACAGAAGACCTCTAATATAATTTATCCTAAAATTAATTAAGAAATAAAAGTAATTAATAATATTTGGCCAACTTGATTTTGAATTTTGATTAACATTGGGAACTTTTTTAAATTTTAACAACCTCTTGTTTACCAATTAAGTTAAGCAATTTTCTTGGAGGGTTAAAACAACGTGTAAACTCAGTTTATATCTTCTTCTTCTTCTTCACGTTTAATATGTAAAATATATTAACTTATTATATAAATTCCTATTCCACCTTAAATTATTCTGACCATAAACTAAAATTTGGCAAGTGAGTAGGATGGAAAGAAAATAAGTTTTAAATATATGTGAATTATTATTTAATATACAAACGGTAAGATTTTTTTTCTTAATAATCAACTTTAATTATTTTTACATTAGATTAATTTCCGTATAAAAATATATTTAAATTGATTACTAATTTTAAATCTGAATAGTTTTTCTCTTCTAGTTTTCTCTAATTGATAAGTCGTTTATCCTTTTTCTTTTATCTTTATTGATCGGCAATGACATCAATTTTAATGTTGGTTGTCGACTTCTAGTATTCTTTATTGTCCTTTTATTTCCTTATATTACATCTTTATTTTTATGTCTTTTTTATTTTCAATAAGTCTGTCTTTATGGCATGTTTTCTTTTGTCTTTTGATTCGTTTTTCGATCATTTGGCTGTTGTTTTCACTTATTTTTTTTCTAAGGGTTGATTTAACATCGCCACGACTGATCAATATGGCTCTTATATTATATTGTTAATCTTCCCTGCTTTGGACCGTCGGATTGGATTTGGATACTTGTTATTCGTTTGTGGATAGCTTTTCACGTCGCTCGAGTCTGATTTGCGGTTTGTCGGTGATCTTTTAGTAATTTGATCTTATTTTGTGGTTCGTTTTATGATACAATCAGACATATTTGTATCTGTCTTTGTTTGAGTTTCCTTGGGTAGGTTTTAATATTTCTTTGTATGATAAAGGGGAGTGTTGTTCTCCCTAGAGATCAGATATTTAAACAATATATTTGTAGGGTGTGTGTGCGATATTTATTAAACGTTCAAACTTTCTTGATCCCACATTCTATAGTATGTTTCACCATTTATGACGTCAAACAAACTAAATTTAGTAGATGAGTAATAATTTCAAAAACATGTACTGCTAAACATTATTTCAGAGAAAGAAGATAACCCTATATATTTTACTTATCATTTTATTTCAAAACTCTCTTAACTAAATTAGTGTCACTTGAGTTGATGTTGTCAAAATTTATTCAAACAATCTACATAATTAAATCATCTTTAACAACATTTTCAAGCTTCAAAAAGCAAGTTAAATATTCTTACTAATTTAATGAGGTAAATAATAAATGGTGTTAAAGAACTTAGATAGGCCCTGTTAATGTGGAGATCCGATCCAAGACATTTTAATGGTCTTATTTGGCTTCTCTCAACACCACAGAATGTACCTAACTCAACCGCTGCTTGAATTAATTAATCCGTGCTCAAGTTATAGCTATTATTGGGATTATGGTTATTCTTATATCATATAGTATATTTATATAATAATAAAATAAATATAGAATGTTAGGCGAAGATTACTAACGTGGACGAATCATTTAATAGACATGCAAGAAAATTAAGATAAATAATGTACAATTCAAGAGATTGGTAAGAAAACTATGATAAAACAGCAAAATTCCTTGGTGAGAAAAAAATTGACTCATATTGTTCAAAAAATTATTTGTTGAGATAAGGTGTTTGTTATAATATTGGTAGATCCTGTAACAACCCAGAAATTGGGAAAAAATATTTAATTGAAATTTGAGGATTTAATTAAGTAATTTGATGAAATTAGGGACTAAATTGAAAGTTTTTAAAATTTATAGTTTATTTTAGAGATGAAAAAATTAGGGACCAAACCCTGAATTTACCCCTGGAGTGTCGGCATTCACGCATTATAAGCGTGAAATTCATTCTGAAATCAAAATGAATTTTACCAAAATTTCTCCCTCAAAGCCCCAACTTCCAACCATGATCCCGACGCCGTCTGATCTCCAATTGTTGTTTTGAAAATACCATCGTGTTCATCATCGAGCGAGGAACAAATCCCTTAAATTAATTGAAGTAAAACGCTGCCAAACGCCGTGAATTTCAAGTTAAAGTCTCGACGTTTTTTTCCGATCGTTGCTCTGTTTACGACACCTCCTGCACCATCGTGTTCCTTGTGCCGTTCCGAGTCTGTCGGTGCCATCCTTGGTCTCCGTCGATGGCGGCACGTGAGGAGGTCAGACGGTCAAAGTTTTCCGATTTGTTGAAATCGATATCTCCGCCATTCAAAAATTTGAACCGAGCTTTGTAAGTATTTCGAAATCGCTCAAAATAATTTTTAAGAATTTTTCTGTGAATTATACGTTGCCGGAAACGGTCCCACGCGCCCCCACTGCACGTGGGGAAGGTTCGGCTACTGCTTACAACCGATTTGACTGGTTTTTGACCAGTCTGAACCAGGTTGACCGGTTCGACCCGACCCGTGTCTGCATTCAGTCGGAACGTTAGGTCTCACAGAGTAGCAATCCAGACTACGCCGAGTGGTCTAGACGTCTTCCCAAAGACATTAGGTAATTCACACGTCTTCCCAAATATATTAGGTAATTCACATGTCTTCCTACCGTCACCGTAACTAGCATCCTATCTCAACAAATAATTCCTTCAACATCTTAAATGAGACAATCTTTTTCCCCAACATTATCTAAGAACTTTTATCATGGGTAAAATTTTTGGGATAATATAGTGGATTTTTTAATATAAAGTGTTTGATGAATTATTTCTTCAAATAGAGTGAACGCCATAATGTCATTGAAATCATCTGGTGTCTTCTGAAAGACGCTTGGAAGACACGTCGTCTTACCCGTTAAGAATATAGTTGTGTTCTTCATCTTCCTAATCTTCATTAGCGACATCATCAATGGTTCATGCATAAGACGCCGTATAGTCGTCTTTTCTTCTTGAAGACGTCATCTAATCTGCATGTTTTTCCAATGATACTGTAACAAGTGTTCCATTTGAAAAAAATAATTAGTAGAGCCATTGACTGGGGAAATTTTTACCCAGTGCATTATCTGGCCAAATTTACCTTTGACCATGATAAAACTCAAGCTATTGATGAGACATTATATTTTTAATATTTTATATGAAAGATTGGATAGTAAAACGTGTGCTCCCAATTTGATTTCTACCGTGCGGTACATGCTGGTGTTAGAGGTTACCGAGTGTTGCTCTTTTCCTTTTACCCATTTTTTAATCTTGAGAAGGTGGATCAAGAGATTACCAAATGTTGCTCTCAACATCTGAGTAATTAAGACCCTAAGGAAAGTTAGCCCCTACTTGGTCCCTAGGTGGGTAAGCCATAATTTGGTGATCTCTCATACTTGTCGTATGTGTTGAGGTTACAACATTGGGGAAAAGTGGTGGTTGGTGTTGGTTATAATTTAGCCTTTTTGATTTATACAGGGAGCTCAGAGTTAAGACAGTGATCAGAATTTGGATCATTGGTCAAACTTAGGCTTAATCAAAATCTAGGATTTTGCATGTCTATTATTATGAGGGCAATCATCCCCACTCAGTTTGTTCTATACGCAATTATCAAGATTCAAAACTTTGACTTTGTTTAAGGAATTTAGTTTCTTCTCACTAGATCAACTAGTTATTGGTTGAACAAAATTTAATTTCTAACTATCAGATTTATCTAGTTCATTGGCCTATATATAGTTATAATTATCGCGTGTCTGACAAACACTAAAGGTTACTATAAATACTCCCAACTAAGACCGAAAAAGAACCTTCCATAATCCATATTACAATCTTTATCTTATTTCTTATAATCACCTTTCACATTTCGAGAAACTTCAGTCAATAGTCGTTCTCTCATCGACCATGATTTTTTATCCAAATCAGAAGGATTAAACCACCAACGACGGACAAAATAAACTTGTTGATGACAAAAAGTACACTTTTACCCTTACTATCTATATTATTGAATAAAAACGAACTTAATCGAGCTTGAGTTTAAAATTTAATATAAAAATCAGCAAATAGGTCTAATCAAATTCGAGTTAAACTTAAACTTAAAAATTATTAGGGTAAAGTACACAAACAATCCACCAACTATAGGACATTGTTTTATTAAGTCATTTGACTGTTAAACGTTTATAAAATGATCCCCAATTATAAGGTATTGCTTTGTGGAGTCATCTGATTATTAAAAGTTAAAAAATAAACACTCAACTATTTATATGTTTTAAACTCATCATTTTCCCGAAATGATTATCATTTTGTAACTTGGGTCGGTTCAATTGATTTAGTCAGTTAAACAAAACAAATTGAGCTTTGAGTTTGGGTAATTTATTAAACTTTTAATTATATAATGTATATTTTTCATATATTTTTGTCTTATTTTCATTTATTCGAGGTTCTAAGTCAAACTGGCTTCAGGACACTGAAAATTGTAGGAATGAAAAGGCAGGTTTTATGATAAATAAAATACAATGATTAGGGAATTCTTCATGACAAGTCCAGATTTCAATTTCGTAATGTTAGAAATATGTTGCAAAAATCATTTGAAACACAAATTTCGACTTCAAGTTAAACAAGTACAACATCATAAAGCTTGCTTGTATCCAAAGTATATGTGACAATGGAAAACATGGAGCAGATCGGAGTTTAAGGAACCGAAACAGACACATGTCAGGGAGGCCACCCACCCACCCGTCCTTTGCAACACCAGTTCGATCGTCAGTAACAGTTGCAACGAATTAAGCTCGCTGCTCGATCTAATCAATGCCCATGACACACATTGAAACATCTTTTGCTCAGTCAGTTGAGAGATGACTCCTTCAGCAAGCCTTAACAATTGGTAACTATTTGATAAATCAGTCAGACTCCACAAAGATCTGCAACGCAATGAAAAGAATTATTCATAACTAGGGCTGTAAATGAGACGAGACAGATCACGAGCTACTCGAGATCGATTCGGTCAAGGCTCGATAAATACTCGGATCGAATGGACTCGACTCGAACTCAAGCTCGACTCGAATTCTTAACAAGCCAAAACGAGCTACTTGATACTCGACTCGAAGAGCTCGTGAGCAGCTCGAAAATATAATATATTAAAAATTTATTTATTTTAAATAAATTATTAATAATATTAATATTTATGTGTTGATTTTTTTAAAAAAAATACAATAAGGATTTCATGTATTTAAGATTTAGGTTTGAGTTTTAGTTTGAGGATTCAATCTTATTAAGTTTAAGAATTTTTTTTCATTTCGAGCCTTTTCGAGCTGCTCACGAGCTTCAGTTCAGGATTTCGAGTTCGAGTCGAGCTTAAAAATTTTAAGCTCGCGAGTTTTCGAGTCGAGTCGAGCTCAGCAATACTCGAGCTCGACTCGGCTCGTTTACACCCCTATTCATAACCGATATTTACCAATTTGAGATGGCAATTAAACATGATACCAACCTCCACATCTGGCAATAGGTCAAAAGTTTTCTCTCTTGTGTCGGACACTGTAATTCCACTAATTTTCTGGACTCCGAGTTTAGTTGCAATCAAGTTCTGCAAATGTAAAACGAGATAATTACAAATGAATCAAAAAGGTCGATGTGTAGTTGCAGAAGGAATGGAAGCAGAATCTATGAGCAGATATCTAACTGTCCATGACAACATATACAAGGGAACCAAATAGAATAAATAACCCCATTTGATAGTAAATAATTGCATGTTAAAGTTCAGGCCTGAGCCATAACTAAAACAACCAGATTGAAAATGTATGGTCCAGAAATTTTCTTCATACCAAATGGAAGTCACTGGAAGCAAAAGCTCCCACCTGTGGCAATACCTACACAAGTGTAAAATCTTTATTAACTATTGCTTTAAATCATAATTTTTATATGCTATACAAAAAAAAAGTAAAAGCACTACTACAAATGTTTATTTATGTCACTGAAGTGATAATAATCTTAGAAGAAGACAAACCAAAGAAAATAATCGGATTCATGCTTGAGGTTCAACATTGCACAAGTCATGCGACCACATTGTGAACCGTACAAATTACATCATAGGGAAAGGGAATGAAAACAGAAAATTCAAACAGCAGTATCTAAGACACAAACCAGTATCTTTATTTTTTGTGTTGATGGGTTAGGATGAAGTGATCCTCATCTACATGACATGATTACACAATTAATTTCCATTATGCCACAAATCTCACCAAACTGACCAGATAGTTTTAGGTGCCGCCAACCATAAGTTCCTCTTCATCAAGAAGCTCTAAGAATGCATGGTTCAAAAAAAATACCTACCAACCATTCATGATTGCATTTAATGGTGTGACACGTCACTTTAGCAACCACCTACCATAAATCTCTTTTATGAAGAACTTGTAAGAATACAAGTTCCAGACCAATTCTAACTTATCACTTTCTAATTCTACCTCTCTCTATAGAGGAAGGCTTTAGGTATATAAGCCGCCAAAAGTACATTATAATAGTTTGAGAAAAAAAAGTTAAAATAATGTTGGCAGCCAACAAGTCAATTACCATAGTCTGAAGCCCATTAATCATAACATTCTTCTCCCCATGTACACTATCTTGTGATAACCGGACCTCAAATGGGCCCAACTCTCTGTCTGTATGGTTAGTGAGATTCAGATGTACCTGCAAGTGGCTATTAAGTCAATTAACATATTCAAAGACTTAGAAAATGAAGTCAAAGACTTAGAAGCAAAGAGAGAAACTCTAGGCTGAAAAATAAACCCATAACAGCAGAGATCTTAAGTTTTGTCATTAGGATGAAAAGAGTTTCTTAAAAGATTTTTCCATAATGCAAAATAAAATGAATATAGTCAAACATACCGAAAAGGACTTATCCAAATTGATTAGAGATGGAATCTCCAGAATTTGCAACTCAACCTCTTTGTGACTGATTGGCTGAAAACGAGGAATGCATATCAGAATGAGTTTGATTACTTCTTTTCAATATTGTCTATTGAATGTTATGCATATCTCAAACTTGCAGAATAGACAGAAGACGGGGGATTCAACAGTGTTTTCTTTTCCATTTAAGAAAAAGGAATAAAATTGAATTATTTGTTTCAGCACAGTACAGACTTCAGGAAAGACAACACAAAACTTGGTCTTCTAAAGCTGTGAGAAGGTTTAACTTACTGTGCCAAGAATTTGCTGGGTTTGCAACCGGCCAAGTTCACCTAAATTTGTACGCCAGGTTATCTGAAGTTTACCAAGAATATTAGTCCCCTCTACCTTCATTTGTGCAGAGTCAGGTGAAGCCAATTTCAATTGATAAAGGTAATTTTGAATTCCCCCACCAGATCTGATAAGAATAGGTGGCTTAAATACCTCTCTGCAACAAAATGGTTATCAGTTTTAGTTAATTAGTAATAATTAAAAAAAAAACCAGAACTCAGAACTATAAGGGTTGCTCGTGCGAGCTGCTAATAATAGTAAAAAAAATAAAAATTATGCATCCATGTGATATATCCCCTACTTACCCGGTTGAAGAATTATATGCAGGATGGAGTTCATCAGCTTTTAGTACTGTAGCACTCCAATGAGGAGCTGGTTCAAACTCAACTTGGTCCATGTAAAGATTTGTTTTTGTATGATTCTCTATGCAAGCTTCTAAATAGGTAATTTCCTGAGATAGAAAAATGCAGCTATTACAGAAGGACAAAAACCCAAGTTGACTTGCAACTTTTACAATTAATAAGGTGGACTTAAACAGATGTTGAGACAGCGGTGCTAGTATAGACTGCATTTCTCATAGATCAACAACTACAAAACCAAACGAGATACTCCAATCATCAGATGGTAGATTACATATTGCAGAAACTGAGTTGCAAAAGAAAAACACACATCTGACTTTGCTTCTAATACTACGAATTAGAAACAACAAAAAGAAACAGAAGACTCAGAGGCTCGGGTGCATAGTGAAGGGTGTCCCTTGCCTTGCCCTCCCCTCGCACAATGATCAGTGAAGGAGGGATAAAATACTGAGGCTGTAGGAATTTATTTGATATCAATTTCATTTACAAATCACATTGCAATTTATATATTTCAAGCCATTTTGAGCCTTTTTATTTCTATAGTTTGCATGACATAAAAAGAAGCTATAGCAGCAGCATGACTATATAGGCTTTATAAACTTACATTAGATAATTCAAGTCAATCTCAACCAAACTTACATTAGATAATTCAAGTCAATCTCAACCTACCTTGACAGTGCGGACCTGCACAACAGAGATAAAAGCATTATAATTTTGAATGGAAAATCCAAAGTTAAAGTGAAGAGAGAGTCTCAAATAACAAAGTTGACGCAAAAAATGGCTCTGAAGCTAGCCAAGGGCAGCATACACTAAATATTAACTCATTTCTTTAGAATGGCATGGGACAGTACCTTTGTCCTTACTGATAAAGGGTTCGCAACAACGAACTTGAAAAACTGTGGAAGATATTTTCTTTCACCATCACTATCATTGTACAATGCAGTGCATACCAGCCTAAATTTTTTCGCGCAACAAATAAAGATGAAGTTAGAGGAAATTAATTAATAAAAAGGATACAGAAAAATCAAACTACTACATACGTATGAGCTCCAAGTTCCTTGACATCATGTTCCACAATGAAATCATAACGCCCGCCTGCTCGTATGGATTCAACAGGTGATTTAGTGGTATCCAAGAGGAGGATCCTCTGTCTCTCGGTCTGAATTTCAGCCTACAATAAAACAAAGACTTCTTGAAATTTTTTATCAAACAAAACCACGTGGTTTTTTAGTGCAAATGCGTGTATGAACTACGAACAGCAAATCTAAATCTCAGTTCGGCCTTTATCGTAGCATACATGAAATTAAGTAAAACCAAGGGGGGGGGGAAATAAGATTTTTGATCCTCAAACAAGCTTAAGAAGAAGCACATGATATAATCCTTTTTCAAATTCCATACTAGTAATAAAAAAAGCTTAATCAAACTCAATTGAAAAGGGGAAGAAAATGGTAATTATCAATGCAACAGATAAACAGTTGCAATCAGCTAAAAGTTTCGGCAAATTCATCAACAAATTAAACATACTGACCTTAATAATAATGTCCCTAACTTCAAAATTAGAGTTGTTATTGATGCTAATATAGCTGCAGAATGTCTCCCCCAAGTAAATCGCCCTACATTAATTTAATAAATAGGTAAATAATATAGTAATTAAACAAACCGAAATTAAAGAAATTTAACAAAAGAAAGGAGAATGACCCGAAGGATTGAGGGAGGAGGAGGAGGCCAGAGAAGCCCATAGCATCAGATGGATGTTGGAGGAGGAATCGGTTGCCGTAAGTCAGATCGGAGGAGTCCATGGACTTACTGAGTTGGGTGGATAAGATCGGGGGAAGGTTGGCAGCGGCCAGTGGATCGTCGAAGATGTCTTCTCCGACGAAGAGATCGGCGGGGTCGATGCGGAACGGAGGATCGACGTGGAAAGATGGCTTGCAAAGCCGCATCACCCTGAAGGCGAGGGAGTGGGTTCCTTGTGGAGCCGTGCTCATGGCTTAAACGATTTCAAAATCCGACGCTTTGTTACTCTATGTTCCTTTCTCGTGGGAATTATCGGGTGACGGCGTGATGCGGAGTCAGGACTCGGGACTGAATACTGTGTTTATGGGCTGAGTCAGATCGGACCGCGATCCGAAAACTTTGTATTTTTCGCTAGCCAAAACTGGGGAAAATTCTATGTATCATAAAATAAGATGAAGCTTAATATTATTAACTAAAGTGGCCATTGGACTAATATAATAATAAAATGAAAGTTTATGCGATAAATTAACAAAAAATAATAATAAAATCATTAAAGTGAGAACTTTATTATAGTACAAGAGTTAAAAAATAATACAAATTTAACGACAAATTATAGAAAATATTATTAAATTATATAAATTGCTATAACTTCATAATATTTTCGTGTAATACTTGGTTACACAAGATATTACTCTATCAAATAATAAAATTAATTATCAGTTATCTAACAAGATGAAGTACTAGATTTTTTAAATAAGACTAGGGGTTTAAATTTTAACGTTATTGATGATAAAATTGAATTGAAAAGGTTATTCTTAAAATCAACTTTTATAATATTTAATCTGAATTAATGAAATAATAAATTAAGTATTATCGGTCATATTAAAATATACAAAATAACATAAATTGTTACAACTTTCCTACTTTCATATTTTAGAAGATAAAAATGTTTAGAGAGTTCTGAATTTCTAAAAAAGAAATGAAGAATAGTTTAAATTTTGAAGAGAAATTGAAGAAGAAGAAGAAGGTATGCCGTAAAAGAGTACCGGGGTTAAAATTAAATTAAATAAATTTATCAAATATTTTAAATGAATATCATATTGGTAAAAATATATAAGTTTTGAAGATCAAATTTATTAGTCATTATCTTTGTTATTAATGACAAGAGATCGAAATAGAAAAAAAATGAAAGTTGAGTACTATTTTATAAAGAAAATTGATTATATGATCAAGACATAAATATACGAATAGATAAAGTGTCAAAAAGTAGTTTACCAAAAATAGGGTAAATTATATTTTTAGTACCTCAACTATTACTTTTATTTCGGTCTGATCATTTAATTATTTTTAAATCACACTTAACGATTAGTTTTGGTTTCATTTTAATCACTTGTCGTAAAAAAATAATGGTGATGTTGATATGCCACTATAAGGTAATGTTAAGTCATCATTGAAAAATATAAAAGAAAATATCAAGACAACAATTCTATTAATTTTTTAACGGTAGGTGACCAAAACGAAACCAAAACATAATGTTATGTATGATTTAATAAAAAATAGTTAAGTGATCAATATGAAACAAAAATAATGATTGAAGTACTAAACGTGTAGTTTACCTGAAAAAATTAGATCCCAACATTTCAACATGCCATCAATTGTGCGAAGCTCTTTTGGAAATAATGGACCCACGGATTTTAATTCTAACCAGAAAATTACTCTAAAGATACAATATTTAAAATAAAAATACTTTTAAATTTTATATTTTAACTAACAAACATATCATAAAATCAACTTGAAAATAAAATCAACTAGGTTGGGAGGGTCGTCCTTGCTTCTGCAATATCCGATCTAGATTAATTGGCCAATAAATTGTATATCAATGGTTATAAAAAATAAACATCGAAAATTACAATAAATGTAAACTAAGCATATAATTATGACATATTCCTATAATCACTGACACAAAAAACTAGTCATTTTAGATCATAAAAGGACCATACAAAGAAATGTAAAAAAATTATCTAAAAACCTCGAACAAAAGATAGATACGAACAGAACTGACTGCATCAACAAACGAACCACAACATGAGATCAAACTATTGAAAGACCACCTACAACCGTAAATCAAAGTCAAGGGTCGTGAGTAAACTACATTTGAACGCAAACTGCATATTCAAATCTAATTCGAGGGTCCAAAGCAAGAAAGATCAATAAGATAACAAATAAACATCATTTTGATCAGTCGAAATGATGTCAAATTCAATATTGAGAAAACTAATAAAAAAATGATCAAAAGATCAACAAAAAAGATCGAAAACATACCAATAGACAAAAGAAATCATATCATAAAGGCCATAATTATTAGAATATAAAAAAATGTATGATATAAAAAAGAAGAAGAAATATTGGCGATGAATGATCAACATTAAAGCTTATGTTGTCGTCTACCAAACAAAGAAACAAAATGATATGATAAAAATAAAATGAAACCTTGGTTACATAAAGATTATTTTAATTACATAATTTAAAAATAAAATCTATAATTCATATATAAAAATCAGATCAAATAATATTAACAAATTATACCCAACACATTAAATATATATTTTGGAAAATAAATCAAAAAAATGAAATACATATAAAATACATTGTTTTAGAATGGTTTAATAAAAAATTCTTTAAACTATATTTCTTTTCTCGTTTAGATGTTTATTTTTTTATCAATTTAGATTTTAACATTATTAATGTTATTATTTAAGTAAGTGTCTCATTCATCACAGTCGTTAAAGAAATTTCATTATCTACCATGTGTAGCGTTTATAAAATTTTGAAATTTTTATTTATAAAAAACTTAATTATAATTCTTAACCATAAATCAGCACAGCATCCTTTTATTCAAATATTAAAAATCATATTATTATTGTTTGCTTTGATAGGCATGGCAGCTTCATGAGGAAGGCGGGCTCCTCGAGCTCGTGGATCCTGAGCTCGGAGAATTCCCGGAGGTAGAAGTCGTTAGGTACATGAAAGTAGCCTTTTTCTGCACACAAGGAGCAGTCAATCGAAGACCTTTAATTAGCCATGTTATTAAAATGTTGGGACAAAATGTTCGTCTGAACGAAAGAGAACCAACGGCACCGGGATTCTTCCAAGACGGGGAGGCATCTTCGAGTAAAAAGTTGATTGAATCATCGGCCAATCGGCTACCTATCAGATGAGTTCTGTTCCTGTCACTGTCACTGTCACTGAGGTTACCCCCCGGTTAACAATCAAGTGTTCCTTCGTTTTTCTTTTTTCTTGTTCTCGCTGTGCATGCATGAAGGCATGGCATTTTGGACCTTCCTTTTAATAGGAAAATGAAGTTGAAAGCCTGATGTTGGCGCAATGTATTCCCTTAGTTTTAGGTATTAGTTTTGCAATATTTCTTGTTTTATTTTATTAATTATTGAAATTCAAAATCTCCAAATGTTTGTTTATTATTGTAATTTGCTAAAAGTGCAAATAAGTAGTAATATTTTTTTTGATCAAATTAAGGCTAAATAAATTATAATTTCCTAAAAATAAAATATTGTAAATAAGAAGTCTCTTTCTTACTTGTCTTGCTCTTTATTTCAACTACCTTAAACAAGATGTGAATCGAGAGATTTTAACGCATACTTCAAGATTGTTGACTAAAAAAATACTTTTCTAAAAAATACATTTTAAATGAATCTCTAATTTAACACATTTTTTTATGTGATCTATTTAAGTGTTATTTTTATAATGATCATATTTTCAAAGATTATGAATATGTAATAAATGACTTTAAAATTCTCTACACGAATTAAACGATATTAGTGATTAATAGATTTGCTGTTAACCCTTGAAGCTCCGAATTCGAGTTTGATGTAGAGGTCAATATTTATGAATATTGTTGTTTGATGTAGAGGTCAATATTTAATAAACTAGGGTTAAAAAGATTTGATTTAATTAATCGTATTTTATGAAATCAAGTTTTTTTTTTAAATTGAGTCGAGTTTATAAAATTCAAGTAGATAATTATGGTTCAACTGTTGACCTGAGGTCATGATTGATGCCTATAGACCAACAAAATGAATAAATATAATCGAATCTTATCAGATCTCTTAAGTCTATCAAAAATCTTATCAAAGGATAATAATTGATCGAAGAATATTAGATTTTATTTTGAAGGTATATAAAATATAAATATATCAGAAATTTATATAAATATAAACATCTAACGTTTGGTAAAACTAATGCTACAACGAATATCCTTGTGAGTGGAGTCCCATGGGAATATGGATGCAAATGCAATAAAAAAAATTGTAAACTTGAGGAAAAGAAAAGGAGCAGGGCAAGAGACGAGGATGGTAATTTGTATTGTCAGCAATTAGGCTGTTGACGTCGCATTTGGTTCGGCAGTAGCTTTCTCAGAAGAAAAAAACTACAATCGTAAATTAAACACATAATTAGAATATTTTCTATAACCATTAAGACAAATAAATTGGACAATTAAGATCATATATGGACCATACAATGAGAAGGTGAAAAACCCATCCAAAAAATCCCGAACAATAGATAGATACAAACAGATCTGACTGTTACAGCAAACGAACCATAACATGGGATTAAACTATTGAAAGACCATCAAAAAAAACAAATTAGAGCTAAGCATCGTGAGAAAATCATCTACAAACGCATGTTGTGTATATCAATATAATTTGATAATCCAAAATATAGAAAATCAACAAGATAACTAATAAATGTCATCTTAATCAATTACGATATATTTTATTTCTATATATGTATTGAATGTATGCACTTGAAGAAATATAAAAAGTGGAAGCATGTGGAAGATCTAAACGAGATAATTACATGTAATTTATGAAACTTATACCTATGTCCTCCATCTATCAAAAGAATGGAAGAAAACAAGCTCTTCAACCCCTACCAATAAATCATGTGGAAGCATAGCTCTTTCCAACTATATAAAATGATGACTTAAATTAAGTGCTTGTTATTCATTTAACTTAGTTGAGGATCCAAAAATATTTTTTATAGTGGGTACACAATATTAATAATAGAAACTTTTCATAGGTGATAGGCATAAATAAAAATTCAAGTGGAGTATTTTCAATTAAATAAACAACTAACATATAAAAAATTCAAATTTCAATGTTCCATCCTAAAATACACGTACGCTAATTTAACTTTGTGTTTGTGGTGAAAAGCTACTTTTAACATTTGCACCAACCACAATGATAGACATATTCCCATATTATAGAGTAAATGGTGTTCAATAATGGAAATGCAATGTGGATAATTGAGTGGACTCAACGGTTTAAAAGGAATGTTATTATTTCTTGGGATTTATATTCGAGTAGTTGTGTCTGCATGGTATACATATATTGTCAATGATTAAAAAAATTAAGAATATGTATTATCATGTAATCACCTCATACCGTTAAAAGATATACAATATTAATAAAGATCTTCAACATCAATTGTTACAAATGCTATTGGCTAACGAGACTACGGATATCCTAACTACATTAAAAGTAAAAATAATTTGGATATGGCCTTCAAATCTTTTCGAAAAATTAATGTGACTATAATTTTCTTTTTACTAGTCACAAAATTGAGAAAAATAATTTGATTATTTGACCAAACAAATATTGATTGTGATGATGTTGACGTGACAATTTACAATATTGATGTGACGGTTCATGGTGGATGATAATGTGACAAATGGGTTAAATTCATTTTATGTCAAGTTTGAGGGTCAAATTATATTTTTTGAAAGTTGAAATGCTTATTTATTTTTTAATATAAAATTATTTAAAGTTTAAAATATTCAAATTAAAATATAAAATACTAAAAATAAAAATAAATTATTAAAAATTAATAATTAAAAGAAACTAAGAATACAATTAAAGAATTAAAAACTAATATTATATCTCGGATTATAAAATGATAAGTTATCATAAAAATAAAAATATTTAAAAACATACATTATACATGATATATACATGCAGCATATAAAAACGAAGATAAATTAATTATATTCAGATAGTTCAATTAACAAAGGCAATATATTTTTAATTTCATATACATCGTCATTACAAATGTCTTATATATTTATATCGTACACATACACATACTACATATTATTTCATTACTATACGATCAAAAATATTCATGACCTTTACAATGCCGTAAACAAACAAAACTTTTTACTTAATAGAAAATGATTTGATCAAAGTCATCGATAGATGAAATGAAGTTAATAAAAGTGTTTCAAAATTATATGTTGTCTTAAGATTTATATTATAAATAAGTACCTAAAGGATATTACTATTATTTTATCCAAGTATCTAAAATATTTTTGATTAAAATTAGTATTTAAACTCATTTTTGATCAAAATAGACACCTAAAGTATTCAATTTTTTTTATCGAGATTCTAAATAGTTCACATGTGATATTAATTAAATAATACTTTAGGTACTTATATAAAATAATTAAATACTTTAAATACATATTTTGATCAAAAAAATACTCTAAGTACCTATTTTGACTAAAAAAATAAGTTTACATACTTACTTTGACCAACAAATACTTTAAGTACTTAAAAGGAAAAAAATGATATACTCTTAAGTACTTATTTGTGATATAAGCCTTTTTCTTAGTTAGTAGTATCTTATTTTTATTATTATTTTCCTAAATAAGCCTAAAGAGTTCCGTTAATTCAAGGCCCAAAGTTAATAGCAGGGCCAGCCGAAGCACGTTTATCACCAAACTACCCGTACACATTTATGGTATTTTGAGGTAATTAACTGACTGAATTTTATTTGTTTAATTAAAAAATTTGAAATTTGATTAACGATTAAAAATAATTTCGATGGATAAACTTTGGATAATTCAATTAGATCGATTAAACAAATCGATGAATTGAACACCCCTACTTTTGCGTTGTTGGTCCAATTTTAAGACCAAACCGGACCCAAATCAAAATCCCAAACCCGACCCAGATTTTCATCTTCTAATTTCTTTGTCCTAAAACCTTTCTTTTTTTCTTTCAGCTCACCATCTAAGAAAGTGAGAGAAAGCTTCCATTTCATTTCAAAATCTCAAAATATCGAATTTTGTTCTCGTTTTGCCCAAAATACCCCCATCTTTCTTTTCAATGCCAAATCCAGGTTAAAACGCCACCGTCACAACAAAGAAACCCAGATTCCGAACCATGATCGTCCGAACCTACGGTCGCCGCAGCCGTGGTTTGACCCGGACATTCTCCGGCTCCCTGGGCGACGACGTTTCCGACTCCCTCCCCTTGTCCCAAGAAACGGTGCCGTCTCAAGACATCTACGATTTCCCCCTAACGGCCACTCAAGAATCCTCTTCTTTATGGCCATCCTCTCAAGATTTCAACGACAACGGCTGCAAAAACCAAACGAAAACGTCCGTTAAAACAACGGCAACCCGAATTATTTTTGAATTCGACGATTCGAGAAACGACATCGTTAGAAGATCCAAGAAACAGAAGCAAAGCCAGAGCAAGAAAGAGGAAGGGTATTCGTCTATGCCATGGATTTCGTCGACTTCGAGTCTGATGGAGGCTCAAGAATTCGGGGAAATGATGGAGCACGTGGACGAGGTTAATTTCGCGCTCGATGGCTTAAAGAAAGGCCAGCCAGTGAGGATCAGGAGAGCTAGTCTCTTGTCTTTGCTTTCGATTTGCGCCACCGTCCAACAGAGGAGACTGCTGAGAACTCATGGGTATGTTGAATTCTTGTTGGGTTTTTAGTTTTAAGGTTCTTTCCGTTGAAATATCTTGATATGGGCATATGGGTAGTGTTAATTTTGGATAGATTTTTGAAATATGAATTCAAATTAGGTTAAAAGTGCATTTTGCTTCTTTTGATATTTTGTTTTAGGCTCTTGGCCTAATTGGATTAGTAATTACAGGAAGAGTTTTAAAATTTGAATTCCCTTCTGAGAACCTGTAATTTTCGGATGGCATTTGAATTTGTTAATTTTAAAAATCTCCTTCGGTGGTTAGTTTGTGTTTCCGGTAGCATTTAGAAGGTCTGTTACACTCTGTTATTTTTTTCCATACTGGAATCTGGTACACTGTCAGTATAAAAATATAATGTCATTGATTGTACTCTTGTAGTTTGTCAATTTTCTATGGTCTCCTTTTTGAAATTGCCTATCGAAATTTTCAGCTTATTTGATCTTCTAAATTTATTGGGTCAATGCTTGTTTCACTCTAAAAGAATGAGTTTGTAAAAGATGGAGAGGTTTTACCTTAAGAATTACTGTATTCACTTTGTTGTCCTTACACTGGCTTTGCAAATATGTTCTTTTCAGGATGGCTAAGACAATAATTGATGCTATTTTGGGCCTCAACTTTGATGACATCCCTAGCAACCTGGCTGCTGTGGCCATTTTCTATGTCTTAACGTATGATGTAAGTTTTACAGAACTTGAAGTTGCAATTCAATTACTATTTATGAATCTAGAAGTATTTTCTGTTTAATAGTTGAGGATTTTATGCACACATAAGGTTCATGTGAGAAGGTGCAGATTCAATACTTATTAGTACTATTACTTTCTGCACAAAAAAACTCTGTAAATGTCTAATTGTGTCTTGTATTGGAGTCTTACATGTTAATCTGCCGTGCAACACATTTGGTTTTCTCCTTTTATCTTCAGTTGATTTTTATTCATTATTTTAAAATTTTGAATGTCAAGAGATCCATGCTTATATGCCTAGCTTTTATTCTTTCTGTCCCTTGGACCAATATTTGGATATAGTCGAAACAAATGTTTTGAATATGTCAATTACAATACTCTTCAATATTTGTATGAATTTATTGTGTCAGGGTCAAGATGACCATCTCCTGGAGTCACCTTGTTGCATCCAATTTCTAATTAAAATTTTAAAGCCAATTACCCCTACTTCTAAAGAAAACAAAACAGAGAAAGTGGGCTTTAAGATTTTGGCATTACTCAAGGATGCTGACATCTCACGGGATACAACTCAATTGTTGGATTCGAGCTCTGCAGCCATTGCTTCCAAAGTTGAGGAAATTCTTGTTAGTTGCAAGGAAATGAAGCCAAAATGCGGGGATTATACTGGTTTACAAAGGCCAGAGTTAAGCCAAAAATGGATAGCTTTGTTGTCTTTGGAGAAAGCCTGTTTGTCTAAAATTTCTCTTGAAGGTATCTAACGGAAATATCTAATAAGTGTTCATTTATAGATTGTTTTCCTGGAACTATAATGCGAGCTCAATCTAGATCTAAACTCAACTACATATCTACATATAAAATACACACTCATACCCTACAGTCAGGTGATTTTTCACTCTTTGCTGATTGCTTTCATGTTTTTCTCCTTGTTATCATTTATTCAGATGCAACTGGTACTGTAAGAAAAACTGGGGGCAATTTCAAGGAGAAACTAAGAGAGCTTGGAGGACTTGATGCTGTCTTTGAAGTGGCCATGGAGTGCCATTCCGTTATGGAGGTGTGAGCTTGTATGTTGTATCTGATTTCTGTTCTTTTGCATTTCAACTGAAGGAGATTAAAAAAAATACTGCTTTAAATTTTGGGAATGTCATCTGGTTCCATCTCTTACTTTTACAAGAAGACATTCATCGGCGACATATAATGCATTATCTTCTCTGCAGGGTTGGGTGGAGCAGAGTTTATCTTCTCCTCTTACCGAAGATAAAAAGGATCTGGAGAGCCTGGTGCTGCTTTCAAAATGTTTGAAAATCATGGAAAATGCTGCATTCCTTAGTAGTGATAATCAGGTACTTAAGTTGTGATTTTCAGTTATTTTGATTTCATTTTCCTTTTAAGCTTGATTTGTATAACAAACTGCCACTTTTATTAAGCTGTTAAGACTGTTTTTCTTTACTTTTACTGTAGAGTCATCTGCTAGAAATGAAAGGGAAGTTGAAGTCTTGTGGATCTCAACTATCTTTTACGAAGCTTGTTATAAGTGTAATCAAGATTCTCTCAGGTTACTGGTGTTGCAATTACTACCTCAAAATGTCTTCTCTCTCACTTTCTCAATGCTTTTTTTATCTTTTGAAAGATTCATTTCATTTGATTAATCAATGTCGTCTTTTCCAGTGTTTTATTGTAAGAGTTCTTGTGGATCGTCAAGTACTGAAAAGGCTTGTGGTAATTCTAAAGCAATGGGTGATGTTGCTGAATTTGCTCTAACTGCAAATTGTAAAGGTATTAGACTGTCTGAGATTATTAAATGAAATATTTCGTTCTAGTGACTGATCTTGGACTTGATTGATTCTTTTCAATTTTGCAGTGGATAGACATGATGTTATCTACATCAGTTCTTCTAATAAATCCTCAAGCATGGAGTGGTTCTGTGAAAAGAGCTTCAATACATCTCAGAATGATCCAGGGCTCTCTACTCAGTGGTTGGGTCATCTTGAACCCAGTTTTCAAGCTGAAAGTGCTTCCATGAATGATAGATGTTTATTAAAGATGAGAACCCATTCTTCCTTGGCCAGCATACGAAGGGGGAAATTAGGAAGTTCATTTGATGAATTGCCTGTAACAAGCAATGGTTCAAAGGATGAAAAATGGCAACCTTTAGAGGATAGTCAGGATCCTTTTTCATTTGATGAAGAATTTGTGCCGTCAAAATGGGACTTACTATCTGGGAGAGAGAAAACATCCCAGGCTAAGAAACATCAGAAACGAGGACCTAAAAATAGAGAAATCCAAGTTGAGCATCAATGCCAATTTACAATGAGCCAAAAGGAATCGGCAAGTGTGGAAAATTTCCAGAGAAAATCCATCAATGAAGAATATAATCATTCAAATGTAACATCTAGTCCTCAATATGCTGAAGAAGAATATTCCAGCCTTCTTTCTGACTGTCTTCTTGCCGCTGTCAAGGTATTCCTAAATATGTTGTTCATATTTCACCCAACCTTTGCAGTGCTTTTTTTTGGCTTCAAGTGTTATAATACGTATTATTACAATGAGGCAGAAGGTTACCTATTTTCCTTCGTCTGTTCATGAATCCTTCAATAGTGGCTGGTAATGGACTGCATAAAATTGGCTTTGCTGTGTATAACATTTTGATATTCTGTACGTTCTCTCTTAGACTAGTGGTTGATTTGATCAATGATGGTGTTATCTTTGGCAGGTTTTGATGAATTTAACAAATGACAACCCAGTTGGCTGTCGGCAAATTGCGGCTTCAGGGGCTCTAGAGACATTGTCTACATTAATTGCCTGCCACTATCCTACATTCTGCTCATATTTGCCTTGCAGCAGTGAAATGGAAGAGAATTCTCTTTGTGTAGAACTTCACAACCAGAAGGACAGACCTCTTACCGATCCAGAGTTGGATTTCCTTGTAGCAATTCTGGGTTTGCTTGTGAACCTAGTAGAGAAGGATGAACATAACAGGTTGATTTATCTTCTTTGCACTCAGTGGTGTGGCTTTCAAAGTAGAGCTGCGTTCATTATGTGCCTTTTTTATATTCATAATCACAGGCACTTTAACAATTACATGTCATACTTCTATGCAGATCACAGCTTGCAGCAGCTTCTGTTTCTTTACCAAATTCAGAGGTTTTAAGAGAGGGGAGTCACATGGCTGTCATTCCCCTGTTATGTGCTATCTTCCTTGCAAACCAAGGAGAAGATGATGCTACTGGAGAAGTTCTTTCTTGGGTGAGGAACCCCCTTTTTCACTGAATGTCTTATCTTCCTCTTAATTTTCATGACTCAGCATTTTTTTAGCGTTAGCAAGAATTTATCATCATTTACTTGCCTTGTACATTCGATTATACAGAATGATGACTCCTCTATGTTACAAGAAGAGAAAGAAGCGGAGAAAATGATTTTAGAAGCCTACGCAGCCCTACTGCTTGCTTTCCTTTCTACTGAGAGGCTAGTATTGTCGATATATCTCCCAGTGCCCTGTTCCTTGTTTTCTTACTAAACTGTTATACACTTTGTCATCGACAGTAGGAGCACACGAAATGCAATTGCCGACTGTCTTCCGAAGCGCAGCCTGTCGGTTCTGGTACCTGTGTTGGATAGATTTGTGGTATGTTGACTGCTAAGCAATTTACTGCACTTTGGAAACATATTTATGCAATTCCATTAACTTTAAAACTTCCATTTTTTCCTATCGCAGGCGTTCCATTTTACATTAAAGATGATCTCTCCAGAGACTCATAAAGCAGTGAGTGAAGTGATCGAATCGTGTAGGATACCATGAGAAGTAATGAAATATTTTGTACAGCCTCGTCTCCCGTTTTAGATTAGCAGAGTGTTGGTGCTGACAATGATCGGAGTTTCAAACCTCGATTATCGTCCATTGATACATTAGTTTGAATTTACCCCTACCCCACAATATTATGTTTTGATATGCAGTGTTATTCTTTGTAGCATAATTATTGCATCGTTTTGATGCAGAAGTGTACATGAAAGTTAAAGGTATAATGAAGTTTTCAGTTGCCTTTGTGTATGTTTTTGCCAAATTTATATAATTAATGAACAAGCTTAAAACTTCAGCCCAAGTCTTCTTTAATCACTGGAACTATTAATAACACGCTTGTCACTTGAACTCTCTAACATTTACTAAATTATTAATAATAAGTTTGTCACTTAAACTCACTGACGTTTATTAAACTATTAATAATACGTTTTTGTCACTTGATTAATCCTTATACACTTTAACAAGAGAATGATGTGAATAGGTTAATAATATAGTTAATCATTAATGCCTATAAATTTTATTATTTTTATCTATATTTATCAAATTTATAATATTTTTATAGTTTTTCAGTTTGGTCTCGATTATAAGAAAAAATAGCCTTCAATGCATTAAAGATTAGATATGAAAATATTTAGGGTTATTTTCTATAATTATGAATGAAATTAATAATATCGTCACTAAATTTAAATTTTTATTCTTTTTTATCGCCCAATTCAATGTGATATATGAGAACTAATTTATTCTTTTAAACGGAACAACTGAAAACTATCCCTTAAAAAAAAAAAACTCTTACAAAGTAGTGGAATTTATTTATTTTTTTTAATTAAAATTATGATCAATATAGGACTTTAAAATTAAACTAAAAACGATTAAAGTTTTAGTGGGAGAAGCTTGAGGTAGATTGCTGAAACATTGCGGTAGATTAATCATGATTTTTAATAAAAAAATGATTTAATTGTAATTGTAGTCATTATTATAACAGAAAATATTATAAATTTTTAAATTGAACAAGTCAATATTTTAAATTAAAAAAGTATTAAATTAACATACCACACGGCAGAACTACCCTAGCAGTATTAGGTAACCAACATTTGGTTTTTGTATCTTCCCTCCTGCCTAGCTGTAACAATGGTAGCTAGGCTTGGTTCAATTAGACCTATAGACGAAGGTAGACGATGATATGTTTATGTTCGTTTATTTAATTTTAATTGAACAAACAAATTAACAAAAACAACTAAACAAACAAAATTTATTGTTCGTGTTCGTTTGTTAAAGAATATAACTTGTTCGTGTTCGTTTGTTAAAATGATAAATAAACACAAACAAACGAACGTAAACGAACACAAACCAATGCACATAAACAAACACAAATGAATGAACATAAAATTAATGGGGTTTGAATTTGATTCTAAACAAGTTTAGGTTTTATATTTTATTTAATTGATTTGGATATTTTTTTATTTGGGTTTAAAATTAATTAAGTTCTAAAATATTAATGGGTTTAAGTTTAAAATTTATTATGCCTTAAATATTTTAAATGGGGTTGGAGATTGAGTTGAATATAAACGAACAAACATAAACAAATATAAACGGACGAACATATTATCGAACGTTCACGAATATAAATGAATGAACGAGACATTTGTTCATGTTCATTTATTTAATTAAACGAACATAAAATCTTATTCATATTTGTTCGTTTAATAAATAAATGAACATAAAATATTTTTTGTATTCGTTCATTTAATAAATAAACGAAGATAAACTAACTTTCTATCGAACGATTCACGCATAGTTCGATTAACGACGATTTCATTTTCGGGCCTAGGCTCAATCTTGCAATTCGTCAGGCGAATGTGGTTCGTTGCTTTCAACTCCATTGCTTTCGGATTCAACAAAAGTAGAAACATTTTTGACCTATGGAATCTTTGGATTTCTGTGTCTAATATTGTTGTTTTCGTAAGGAGAAAAAAACTCGAGTCAGATTAGTTAAATTAAAATTGAGTTAGTTTGATAATTGAGTTTTATAGTTTAAATTGAAATTTTAAAAATTAGTTGAAATTAATAAAAAAAACAATAATAAGAATTGAAAAGAATCCTTAAAACAATAATTTTATTTTCTTATTAATTTTGAATTGTTGTTAACAAAACATCTATTTTGTAAAATTATATTTTGGTTCATTTTCCCATTTTAATATTTTATCATATTTTAAAAATATTTTTCAAAGAAACTTTTTAAATTATTATTATTATTTTATTAAAGTTACGGGTGTCCTCGCTTATTCGTTTAACCGTTCAAGAGAAACTAGTCCCTTCAAATTGCATAAGATCGCATGGGAGACAAAACTATCCTATCATATATTTATCATTGATGCATCCTCGAATAGACTTTGGCAAGTTTTATTTTAATCTGATTGTCTGAACTAATTTATCTAACTCAAAACATGATACAAATATGAACAAAATGATTTAAAATGGATCCGAAACACGAAATAACTTGAATTGAATCGAAACTGATATGAATTTTAGTTGAAACAAAAGCAACCTGAACTGAATCAACCCGAGCCGAAAAACATGTATCGAAAGTAATTTGAACCGAAAGTAACATGAATTTAGTTTACTCATTCCCGATTCGAACTGAACTTCGACTCAATTTTAACCCTGATAATTGAATCTAAGTGAATAATTTATTTATTTATTAGTATTATCCGTTTTTAGCATTGATAAGTAATAAAATAATATAATGCTTTATTCTTATTTTATATTATACTACTAGTTAACCACCTCTTCCGGTAATAATTTAATGGTTCAATATAATTTTTCCTCAATTAAAAGATCAACTCTATATCTGATGCAATAACATCTAGCTCTGAATTTAGACTGTAACTGATACATGCACCACATGCCCTAAAGCTAAGGATGATGAATTTACTATACCACTTGGCCCTATCACACGAGGCCGGATCAAACTTCTTAAAGACAAGCTTCAAATCGCAGTTCAAGCATTCATCCGGAAGGGTCTAATAGCAGCAGATTTGCAACAACTTTTTGAAGGGGATCCAGTTGTTATCCGGTCGACATGTCTTCTGGAGATACAACCTTCTGTCTCTTATCTTTCCAACGGTTCTTGAATCGCATCAATCCGATATCGGGAACTCAAGATATGGTCATTTTACTGAAGATGGTGTATGCAGAAAATCCTATACGGGATTAATACGTTATTTTGTAAATATTACGAATTTTCAATATTTATATTGATTATTTGTAATATAATTTAATATAGGATGATTAATTATCTTTTAGGATCAGATTTATTATTTTATTAGGAATTAAGGTTGGGTTAAAACAATATTTTTTAGTTATTATTATTTTATTAGGAATTAGAGTTAAAACATGTTTAGTTTATTAATATTTTTATTCTTTAGTTATTTAGGACATTTAGAATTTAGCCCCTATATAAAGGAGGCTTCATTCAACTTTGTAAATCATATTTCTTTAATCAATAATACAACAAGAGTTTGTTTTTGCAAGTGCTGATTGCCTTGTGCCTTCGAAGCTTCTTCTCCTGGAGTTCTTTCAAGTTCTTGTGAGGGAGATTAATCTTCACACTCCAATTTGCCTTTTCATCGCGACTAGGAGGGTTGGTTAGAGCCATATTATCGTGTTTGCCTTTTCATTGCGACTAGGAGGGCTCGATAGGACATTATCCATCGATTTTCCACATCCATCCACGTCATCAATCATCTTTACCGTTCACTTTCATAAGGGAGATCTTTGATTTCTTGGTTATTTTCTCTATTATTAATTCCTTTATCTTTTGTTTATCTTATTTTAATCTTGTTTCTTTTCTTGTTTTTAGCACTAAAAGAAACCCTAAAGAACCCTAACTATTACCGCCACCTTCCTCATTCATTCCTTATTGTTCTTCATCGAGTCTAGAGCTTTTATAGGTTTGATTCTTCAACAAGAGAAACGTTCATCAATCCACCACCGCTTCCCTATCAATTGGTATCAGATTTGGGCCGATTCTTGCACACAACACCGTCAAGGTACCCCAACGGAGCTAGTTCAGAGAAGATTCATCGTTTCAGGTTATTTTTATTTAATTTTAATTTAGATTCAAATCCTTCTTGTTAGTTTGCTATTTTTTTCAAACAAAACAAAAAAAAACAAAAAAAAAGCCAAAAAAACAAAAACAAAAAACAAAAAAAAGCCAAAAAAGCCAAAATTTCAAAAAATTGCAAATGAAGGTATTTAGGGCTGATTTTATTCATATATTATATTTCATTCTAAGAGTAATCCCCATTCCAAATTTCACCCTAATCGGAGTTCATTGGAGCCTTCAAATACATCATTCAAGTTTCATTGGCAGATTCAGTTTAGAATCTTGTCGAATTTCTTGAAAATTTTACAGGAGAAATTTCGTGGTGAAAATTTCCATATTGAAACTTCATATATTGAGATCATTCACACAAAATATCAGAATTTTTGGAGATCAAGAACAACTTCGAAGAAAGTGATCAAGAAAAACAGATTGTTTGAGGACTCACCGTTCAACAGAGTCTACTGGATACTATTGAAGGTATTTGGTTCTGAAATTTTACAGGTGGTTTCTTGACGCATCGAAAGACATTCAAGAAATTTTTCAGAATTTTTGGACACCGGTAACCCCCTCAAAAACGTTGCTCAAGTTGATCCAGCATTTTCTAGGTTTTCTGGTTTGGTCCCTTTTTCTTTGACTCTTAGTGCTTTAGGTTCTTTTGTTTTTCCTTGTTATTGTTCTTTTGCATTATCTAACACATTATCTTCTTTGTGTTAGTAGGACTAAAGAGTTTTCATACTTCTTCCTTCTTTGCATTCTCGTTCTCTTGGAGTCTAACCTTTGTTTGGCCTCTTAGAGCTTTTAGGTTTTTCTTATCGCCTTTGCTAGTAATCAAACTCCGATACGAACTGTGAAAGACTACTTGGTAAAGTGAGTTTTAAAGAGTACAAGATCGGCTTACTTGCCTCTCGTTGTGTTACTTTCTTGGAGTGACTTGTGAGGTTTCTTGCTTTGTTGAATTTATTTTATTTTATTCTACTTTAAAATCTTCTTTTGAGTGTTATAATTGCAGGATGGGCGACAATAACAATGAGACACTTACGGCTATCTTAGACGCACTTGAACGACT